GCATTGCAAAGGCCAGAGCTGCCTACTTGAACCTGCGTCATCTTTGGCGACAGAAGGGAGTTTCCCTCCGTCTGAAAGGCCGTGTATACAAGGTCACAGTGAGGGCCGTTCTGCTCTATGGTAGTGAAACTTGACCCCTTCGGTCTGAAGATCTGAGGCACCTTCAAGCCTTTGATCATCGTTGTTTACGAAGCATTTCTGGTGTCGGATGGCACCAGCGTATCCGCAACAATGATGTGCGTAGGCGAGTACTAGGTAATGATAATCATGCTAGCTCCCTAGAACAACAGATAGCATTGAATAAGTTGCGTTGGTTCGGGCACGTGCTACGTATGCCTGGTCACCGCTTACCTAGGAGGGCCTTGTTCAGTCTACCAGGTGTAGGATGGCGCAAGGCTCGAGGTGGACAGAAGTTGACTTGGCAGCGGGAAATGCAGTCACTGACAACCAAACTGGGTGCCGTTGGTCCATCTGGCCTTCCGGGTTGGAGTCCACGTGACTCACCTTTTGCTTGGCTCGAGACTTTGCAGGACATGGCTCGCAACCGACACCAGTGGCGCGTGTGCTGCCGTCTCCTAATCGGATTGTCTGTTTAAGGTATGTTTGGTGCAGTTATCTGCTTGGTAATGGCTGATTATGACGCGTGGCAGTGCAGCGGCAGGGAAGCTGTCGCGCCGATGCCGCCTTATCTTTGCACGATAGCTGACTGTTTGTGACGGTATTTTGTCTACACAAGGTGTAGGCGCCTTGACGCTGAATGTTTGCTTAGGGCATTAAGGTTTTCAGGTAAGTCCCCCTTCTATCCCTCTTCTTATTCCTTATTTCATAGGTCCTCATGGTTGTATGGCAGCGAAGCATCAGTTCAAATGGCAGATGTACTGCTGTTGATGATGATGATGATCACTGAACCAGGTTTTGGAATCCTAAGGCCACATCCTCTATAATTTGGTGAGAGAGGTATCCTGGTGAGTCATCGCGCCACATTATTATCCACAGAAAGTTTTTCACGAAGGAACCACCACTGTTCTAAATTCTGCTTTCCAGTCTCTTGAACATCGTTGGAAGAATCGTTCTGGCAAGCCATATATAAAGATTGTGTTTAGGTGGTCTTGTTTGCTCTGTCCCTCTTCGGTGTTTCTTTTTGATTGTCGCACACTCCAAGGGATGTCAGGATAGATGCGCATCCCACAGGATCCGTGACTTAGCGCGGATTCTGTCAGCAGCGGTCATGTACTAACAACATACTGATTGAACGTGGCAGTTGGACCGAAATAGCCGATAAGGGGCCTGGCACTGATGTCATCTATCCCGAATTTTTCGAGGCCCAAAACCACTTAGATCACAATATCTTTCAAAAAGCTGATAACTTACGGTATTTGGAACCCTGCCGTTGGTTGGATCAGAAATTTTCTTTTTCAGCGGCGACCTCAGGTTTGGGTTCGGAGCTCATTTTTTGATCACATTGAGGTGGACTGCGATGTTTCACAAGGATCACAAGGATCAAGGAGGTGAAACTTGCTCCCGAGCGGTCGCGAAAGTTTCCTCCTGCGTTATTCGCCTCCAAATATTTGGATTTATTCTCACAGAGACCTACGTGCCATCATTCGATTTGGCTCCGCAAGCTGCTCCTACCACTGTCCATCTATTGGATCTATCATTCGCGGATCACTAGCAAACTGTGCTCTTGCAACTTCGAAGTTAACCGTAATTGAACCTTATCGGAGGATTTATTTTTTCTCTCGTCACATAAGAACTCTTGTGGTCTTATTGTAAAGATCTTTTTGAGAGTTACCCGATCAGCTTACTACCATTCCTTCAAGTCGCTCTACAAAGCGATAGTCGTCAATTTGATCCGCCCTTGGAACTGCCACTGTTGTAATTAGACAGTATTTGCCAAGTAACCTCGCTTTGCCTCAGTCCTACGTCGCATCGCTGCCTACCCTCTACCAGCTAGATCAATAGCACGCACTTCGCCTATCTACCCTAAGGAACGTGTGACTCATCTGGCCGCGACATTCCTGGACCCGCTGACCTCAAACCAGCGCCGATCGCCACGCAACGGTGCGTCAGTATATCTATCCTCTTTTTACCCCTTAAAACGGCACCCCCAACTGAGAACATGTTTCGTATGAAGAGCAAATGCGAATCATGTGCTAAAGTGGTAAAATGTGGTCTGGCGTGTACCATGTGTTTGAAATCCTATCACACTACCTGCCTTGGGAAGGGGTCGACAAAAACAAACACCGCAGAGGCGTTTTGGTTCTGCCAAGTAAGCAATTCTATCCCATTTGTTAGCTGTCTATCTGTGCTACTGAAGAGGTGTGAAAGACTAACCGAAGCGGTCGAGCAACTGGTGAGCGCCCGAGTGACACCCATGGGAGGAAACGGACCTGCACTTGTGAGTGAAAATAACACCCCGAATTCCCTAGTCAGGCCGAAGAAGCGAGCCAGGCATCCCAACCTAACTCCAAAGACTTAGCCTTCAGCAGTATCAACTCCATTCTCTCTCCCTCCTATAAGTAAAAACAGTGCCTGCAGCGCGCCTGCCTCAACTTCTGTACTGTGTGCTGCACCTAGTAGTCTGTTCGCTACACTCGAGACTGTAAGCTACAGTCAACCAGCAATAGTGAACAACCCGGCAACGTACGCATCGGTTGCCGCCAAGCAAACATCGGAAAGAGCACCGGTAACCTTTGTGCCCGGACTAGCGAAAACTAAAGTGTCGCAGCACGGAGCGCATCCATCAGTGCCATTCACAAATTCACCAAAAACACCGGATACTCAGCCTCCAAATCCAAAACCAGTAGCCACCAGGCGCAACCATGGTGCCCTAAACCTTGTATGCACAAATGTCCCCGAATCCAAATCCAATACAATTAAGGGTAAGTTGACGGACGATAGAAATCAATGGGATTCCATCTGTACGTCGATCGGTGTCCATGCTAATCCCACGATATTAAGAAGAATCTCGCGCCACCCAAACGCGTTGCACTACGGCGAATCCCGGTTACTTCGGGTAACACCAAACTCGGCGGACGAGACTGAGGCCGTTCTGCTGTCTGCGAATCGTCTCCGCAACAACTCAAGTGGAGTGCGCATACTACCCGAAATCCCGTGGAAAGAACGTTCAGGGGATCCCGCTAACATAGATAGGTACAGGAAAAGTCAAGATAAGAAAACAGTGATGGCTCACGAATTTCCTGAGCTTACTGACTCCTCTTCCGACGATGCTCAGATGCACGACCGCGAGTAATGGCACTACATCCGGGAGGCTCTTTCTCTCGAAAGTGTGGTGGTCATCTCGTTGACAAGGATCCTCATATCACCAAACTATAAGGGGTGCGGTCCCAGGCTGTTAAAACTTGTGTTACAATCAGAACTAACGGCACAAACGCTACTAAAACCTGGACTAAATTCCGTTGCAGAATATCAACGGAAATTCGTCTGAAAGCAGCGGGAACACCAACACCTTCTAAGGACAATTCAGTAGAGGCACAACTCTTAGTGAAAACGCCAACTGCAGGACCCGACTCGGATCGGTTTCAAGAGAAGCCATACTATCCGGAGGGGCACAGCAGAGCACGAGCAAACACCGGGATTCGGGGCATCTGATACCTGCTTATATATCAAATACTTATCTAGAGTATGCAACCCATCCAAAAAACTATTAGTCGCCGACCCTTTATTAGTCGGCGTAAACTCATTTGCTTCATCCATCCGATCTAACACACTCTTGGTCTCCGAGAAGCTCTCATGCATGTACACAAATGCCCAAGACCTACTCAGCAAATTAGCTGAATTAAAACTTCGACACGTCTCAGCAGCTTGGGACCTCATCGCTGTCACCGAAACGTGGTTGCGCTGCGAGATAACAGATGCTTAAATCGAGCTAACGGGAATGTCGGTTGTCCGGAATTATAAAACCAGCAAAGGTGGTGGGGTAGCCATCTACTTTCGTAACAACATGCAATGCGAACCCATAAACGATTCGGAAACCGACGTACCTGACGCCATTTGGTGTAATTTCCGTCTAAGAGGGAACGATCTTGGCCTATTGGTTGTTGTTTACCGCCCACCATCGTCTACTCCTGAGATGGACTGCATTTTGATGGCTGCGTTGAGGCAAGTGATAAACAGGCAGTACAGTCACATTCTAGTCACCGGTGACTTCAACTTACATGCCTTCGAATCCCAGGCCACACCAGGAGAGCAATTCAAAGCAGATTTGCAAGATCTGCTTTAAGACTACCCTCTTTATGGCCACGTCACTACGCCCACCAGATTCAGGGGAACTGACAGGACATCTATGTTGGACCGAATATTCGCCAATAAAAAATTGATGGTCGAAAGAGTGATAACCGATATTCTTTTTGGCCGCAGTGATCATATGCCACTAGTGTTCCATTACATGTGCTACGCGGATCGTTCTTAAGAACATGCCGAGGAATATCATGTCGTAACCAAACATGACGACCTGTCTGACCTCATTGATGCAACAAGCTGGTCGTTCTTAGCTGAATTACCAAGCTCGTGGCAAGGACATCTGAAAGCAAACTCTGCCAGCCTAAAAGGAGGAAGTCTTTCGCAAGGAGCAGGACACATATATTCATGGCATTAAGGGACTTGGCATGGCACACCTACATAGCCTCCCTGAACGACGGTACCTGGGATGTCTACATAATACAAAGAAACCACTGTGTCAAACTCGTCCGGGAGGATAAACTAAAGAACCAACACGGTCTAGTGGAAATGTTTTGCTCCAAACCCAAACTGTTATACAGACAAGTGAACAATTTGCGCCGTGTCTAGCGCGGTATTCCTGCTCTGCACACAGCCTGCGGGTTAGCCCAAACGGCACAAGAGGCAGCCAACGTCCTTGGACAACAATTTGGCCGTACCACCCAAAGCTTGCAATCATCATACATCCTGCCTAAGCAGATAACGCCGCCATCACGGCTTAATCACATATCGTTCACCTCCGCAGCTGTATGAAGAGGCTGATGTCCCTGCGCGAGTTCATCTCCCTGGATGCGGACGGCGTTCGTCCGAAGGCGCTGAAAGTTGCTGCCATGAGTTTGGCAGGACCATTAGCAATTTTCTTTCAACGATGTCTGAAGGAGATGCACGTCCCCACGATGTGGAAGCACGGAATCATCACACCAATCTACAAAAGTGGTAGCCGTGCTGAACCAGCAAATTGTCACCCGATAACACTACTTCCTGTGATCTCCAAGGTTATGGAGTTCATTGTAGCTGAGGCTTTGATGGGGTACCTAGAGAACAACAAAATTCTCGTTCCGGAACAGCACCGATTTCGCCAAAATCGCTCCTGTACAACTAAGCTGTTGATTCCGTGTGCAAGCTGGACGGAATCTGTGGACGCTGGTGCAGGAATCGACGCGGCCTACTTGGATTTCTCAAAGGCATTCGACCTTATGGACCATCGCATTCTCCTCCACAAACTCCAGAAATATGGAATTGGCGATCCTATTCTGGGCTGGATAGGAGACTTTCTCGTGCAACGTCACCTGAATGTGAGGGTTAGAAGCAACTTGTCGGAATCCATCGAACTTCAGCCCGGCGTACCTCAAGGCTCGGTACTTGGACCCTGCCTATTCCTGGTTTTCATAAGTGATCTCGCGAGTGTGCTATCTTCCAACTGTTTGTTATTTGCTGATGACCTAAATGTATGACGCACTATAGCTGCAGTGGAGGACCACAGAGTGTTACAGGAGGACCTATACAAAGCGTACACATGGTCCATCGAAAACATGCTATATTTCAACGTCACCAAGTGCAAAGTTCTCAGTATACGGCACAAGAGTATGCACAAGTACCGTCTAGGACCACAAATTCTACAGCGGGGTCCTCACGATTGCGATCTCGGCGTGATAGTTCAAGATGATCTCGGTTGTTTGAGGCAGACTGGAAAGGCAGCTAAGAAAGCAAACCAGTACCTCGGCCTTCTTCGCAGAGCTTTCGGGAAGTTTGACCCTTCAGTCTTTCCAGAAATACTCAATGCGTATGAGGCCACACACGGAATACGCTATCCAAGCGTGGCAACCCCGGCTCAAGCACCATCTCACTGCGCTCGATACTGCACAGCAACGAAGAGCGTCAGAGGTTTGATCAGCCTCTCCTACGCGCTCAGGCTGAAGACTCACAAAATATACAGTAGACGTTATCGGCGTCTAAGGGGCGATCTCATAATGGTGTACCAGATCCTGAGAAACCCCAACCACCCATGCCATTCCCTTCTAATACGCAGTCAAAACACCTCGCAAACAGGTCACCAGTTTAAGTTAGTCACACAGTACAGCCGCCTGGAATGTCGGCGAAACTATTTCTCTCTTCAAGTGGCACAGCCTTGGAACGCCCTCCCGGAACATGTAATTAATGCACCCACCCTATCTCTTTTTTAAAAAAACGCCTTGACGATACTCTGTCACATTTACACTACGTGCTATAACCCATGAGCAGCAGATGCTGGCACTAATGCAAAACAGACAGGGGATAGTACCATAACCCTACTCAAGAATAAGTCACTCCAAACGCCTTGCAGGAAATTTGATAAACGCTACTATTATAGAAACTGAATTTCTGTATCCTGTCGACCCAAGATAGTTGCACACGAGTAAGCGTTGTCCTTGCTATATTTTTTTATTTTTCTCGCCTATGATGTGAACAATAACAACTTCCCTGTTGCTTTGTGTGCGTTCATTCGCAGTTCAAACTCACTTTATACGACAGTGCAGTTACATCTGTAAGCGCCCGAACTGACGACTCCATTATCCCTTTATCTATCTTTTTTCACCTTAAACACCCTACGGGACATGTCAAGCACATGCTTTTTTATCCGTTATAAATCATTGTTCATTGTTCATCAGTGTTGGGTCTTGTTTATTTTTGGTCTCTATCAACCATGTCGCACGTACCATCGATTCGAATTACTTGGTTATAGACGTTGACATCAAGGGATAGATCAGGATCGGTTGTCAGAACTGTCACAATATTTTCAATGAGACGTAGACGGTGCTTTGGATAGTCAAAGGCCGCTTACACGTATAAGCTTGGGGACCACCTCCTTACAGGAGCCCGATCATGGGATGGTGATACAACACGATTGCGAGTGATCTGCGCAGTCTGTGAGAGCGTTCGAAACAGCTAACCAACATGTTGTTCTCTTATGGATAGCGCCTAAAAGGTTCGACCACGCTACCTTCTCCCAAATGTTCAGTGCATATGTGTGGCCCCATGTAGATTACGAGATACAGGTCTCGCGACTCCGATTGAAACGCGACCTGGCTGCACTGAAGACCCCACCACAATCAGCAACCAAAAGGTGAAGGGAGAGTTCCCCATGCCATACATCTGCGAGTGAAAACTTTGGGAGTGTAAAGTGCATGACGTCACCGTCTACTGGGTTACCTAGTTGTAACGTACCAGACTTTTAAAAACGCTGGTCACCCTTATCTTATCCCCTTGCAAATCATCCGCAGCACACATTTGAGTGGTCCCTAGCTGAAACTATCCCCCCAATATAGTCGGTTGGGACGCGGCCGGAATTATTTTTCTCTTTGAAGTTGTTAACCGTGGAACGTTCTTAGGAATTTTTTCATTTTGCGCCCACGCCACCCACTTTTACAAAACAACTCAGCGATGCATTCTATCATCGGTAGTACTTGATTTGAATTCCCCCATTTCAATAACTGACGACAAGACACAGCTAAACATTGTGCTAATGAGTCCCCGCGAAATTGTTGGAAAACAGAGCTACGAGTGCGTTAATGTGGAGATGAAGGTGAGTCCACAGATGCGCGTTTCACGTCAGTGTAACTTCCGTTCCTTGAACTTAAGTAATTCACACAAACCATCCTGCGGGACCTGTCAAACCATGACTTTTTATATGTATTATACAACAGTTTCATCGTTGCATTGTAATGAATTTGTTTCATGTGGCTATAACATTGTCAACACAATATCAGAACACAACAAACGTAGAGGCTGAACTAACTGGTTGGGTAGTGGTTTAGGGCATGATCGTGGTCCAACCATTGTGCATTGCTTCGCCGATTGTCTCAAAGGATCCACTTATCATTGTACTTCACTATCCGGTCGAGAAACGGGTCGTTTTTATTGTGCACGGCAAAGGCTATGGAGGCTTCAAGATGAAAATCCTTTGATTTTCATTCCTTTCTTATGGTACACACTAATCAATACAATTCGAGGTTACAATAACTAAATAATTGAAATTGTCACATATACTGCTAAATCGGAATTAAGATCTCTTAGAGTTTTACGCCGACCCGTTTCATTTCATGAGTGAACAATTTGTTCGATTTTAGCTCCCACGTTAATAACAGTGGTGTACGTTCCACTAAGGACTACTCAAGGGACATGTCTATCTTTGTCACTGTTTGCAGTAGCACTATTGATGTCATCCGAAACAATAGGATTTCTAGCCATAAGAGGTTAAATGCAAGTCTCAGAAGAGGTTATGCAAAATTTCAAGGTACTGAAAATACTTAAATCGCGCGTTGAAAACAAACGTTTCAAGTTCCAACCTGTTCCAGCGCCTAGGCTGTTCGCGAGGTCAAATCCGTGAGGCACGGCTTTCGCTACCCACACACCCACACGTGTAAGCTCCAAACTCATCGAGTATTATTTGATTTTGGCTACCACACACACTGACATTGGTTGTGTTCACTATGGTATCGTGTTCCGTACTTACCTGGTTTCAACACTTCTATCCTCATTGCACGTGTATTTGTGATAGCAAGTTGATAGATCATATTACCTTAATCACTCGAAATACCCGGGTAATGATGGCAGAAAAGAGTAGAAACGCTAGTTAGTAAATACGACAACCCGACCTAGTTACCGAGGTCACAAAGATAGCAAGCGATAATAGTAGTAACCATTTCAACTTCCAACCATCATGGCTGGTGTGATAGCAAAGAATCAGAGAAGCTCGCATCAAATCCAGGCTACGGTCACAAGATGAGACGCTGATAAAATAGGTGATTCAGGATTACCGATCAGGTCACGGATGAAGCGGCGGCGCGCTTGGTTGGAATAGAAACACGGTTGGTTGTGCTGTATTACATCTGAACTAAGCGACAGTTGCGGTGGGTATAAATTCTGGTCATAGTTACTCTGAAAAGTATCACCAGGAATGATCTCGGGCTCTCCGAATTATCCTCATCGTCATCTACAAAAGCAGATCACGACAAGCGTTGTGCTGGCAAAGTAAAATAAACTTATGCGTATGTGTTCCCACAGTGAAAGTGCGAAAATGGCGAAATGACTGAAAGTAGTGAAACTGTGGGAATCAGATCTGAGCAGGAGAATGCAACGAAGGGTTCGATAGTACCAATCGAACAGGCATAACCAATCGAAGGTACTGTGAGGTCCCAAACAGTAGAAGGATAGAAATAATGCGACGGTTTGTGTGAGCTGATGAACTGACACAAAATTTGCGGTGACCAGGGAATTACCACTGGAAATCTTGTCATGGGAAATCAATTGTGAAATAACTGTGTTGTGAACACTTGTTCATTCACCGATAATGCCTGTAATATCCGTAATATTTGCATCAACATGCAACCTAAACCCATCAAAGAATCCTGAAATTTATCAGAAGATTGTCTTGTGCGCCTAGTGTACGCAAATTATTTCCCCGATGGCCAGTCCGGAACAGTGAATACCTCACTCTGTTAGGGTCTCGAGTTTCGTTCAACATAGGTGGCAGTCGGGGCGTTTGCTCTTGACAACGAAAACTGCAACTTACATGAGATTACTTAACGGCATTGTTAGGCATAATCATATGACCAGTTTCGAACCCTTTTCTAAAACGCGCCAAAATATCTGCGTGGAAAGTATACGCCATCAACATTGTTTATTAATCTGCATAGTTCCTAGTGAACCATTCCCTTCTCGATTTACAAGCTTGGAAATAGTGTATCAGAAGGTTGCGCTGATAAAGGGACACTGCAATTTTACTAAGCAGTGTCGAAATTTCTCTCATCACTATTTAGCAGTTAATGAAAACCATCAAACCTTCTCTCTGGTTGGACTGTGACTGCATCTCTTCAACCAAGATAAAAATAGGAGGGCCAAACTTACCATTACTGTCGTTGAACATGTGTACTTTATGGCTACAAACTAGCTATTTTCATGACCACTGGAAAACATCATTCGTCATCACACGCCATAGAAATGGTCCCAATCAAACTGTTACCAATCACCGATTGATTCAGCATACTTCCACCATCGACATTCTGTCTGAACGATTAGTCTAGAAAACATTGATGGAGTTCCTTAATTCCCTGAACCAACTTAACACATCTCAACATGGTTTCCTTGATAGAGGTTCCTGCACGACCTGCCAGCTACACTCACTTAACTTCACTTCAGTTGCCATAGACTCCGGTTATGCGGAGTATTTGGACCTAGAAAAAGCATTTGACCATGCATCACACAAAGGGTTGTCGAAGAAAAGTGAATCTTTTGAAATCCAGAACCAGCGTTTAAGTTGGCTTTCCTCCTACCATAACAATCGGTCTCAAATAGTCACTTTGGGCGATCGCCACTCTTCTCCTCGTCCAATAACCAGCGGCATCATCCAAGGAACTGTACTTGGCCCTCCGGTTTTTCTCCTCTACATCAATGACATTGGCAGCTCCATCAAAAA